ACCAACCTTTCACTTGATACCGCACACGTCCATCACCCAACACCTCACATTCGTGACGTTGTCTGTTGACGATTCTGGACTCACCGGCCATCAAGTACTCGCCAGAGTTTTGCAGATAGCATCCTGTAAAAAAATCGTTCTCTTTTTTATCATGATCGTTACTTCAACTTCAGAGGATAACAGGTAAAAAAAAGTTCAATTAGAACAAAATAATTAATTTTGACTTGTTTTGTTTGTTAACTGCTGTTTTAACGCCGCAGTTCGCGTTGCGAATGTTTCACAAGAATGCTGGGTTGTGAACAAAACTTTCGCCCCAGGCGGGACTAGAACCCGCACCTCTCGCTTTCCGGGCATGTATAATCCTTTTAAATATACCATGAAAAGCTGAGTTGGGATGAAATGGTGCCCCGGTAGCGTAACTGGTAGCGCACTTGCCCGGAAAGCGAGAGGTGCGGGTTCTAGTCCCGCCTGGGGCGAAAGTTTTGTTCACAACCCAGCATTCTTGTTAAATAAAAGAAGTGATAACAGAATTATGTGTAAGCTCTCACCTTCAATGACAATGCCATCTCGTCCGCATGTCAATCGGAATGAGCCGTTGCGGAATGTGTCACCAATCGAATAATGAACGCCATTATCAAAGCACATAGCTTCTAGAAAGATTCAGTTGATAGGCCTTTACAGTAACTGCTAACCTTTACCGTAAAAAGGCATACTATTGAACTTATGAAAGAGTCAGGTCACGCTAAACAGTTCAAACAGTTCCTTTGGCTAAGCACCGCCTATTCTCCAAATGTAAGGCTTTGGAATGGCTACTACTTCTATCCCACTTGCTGATCTCCTTGTGTCCAAGCCAGTTAATTAATCAATTTGGTAGCACGACCAAGTAAAGTTGAGGTCGGCCCCTCAATTCCCCTCCGCAAGCTTGACCTGCATCCCATGTTAGAAAAGATCTCGACAAGGTAAGGGGAAGGGTGAGGTAACCAGCAAAAAGGTTAGTTGAGTTGGAGAAAATTTGGGGTCAATATCTCCCCTCCCTGCCCTCATGGTGAAGGAATTTGAACGGACCCTTTCAGCTGTCGTAGTCTTGTCTTCCTTCAAACCACAAAGAAGGGGAGGGGAGAGGAACTGCCTAAGCGTCGATAAAAATTGCAAACTTTTTGGAATCTTGGAAAAATCTTTGGAATCTTGGAAAAATTTTTTTGGAATCTTGGAAAAATTCCTTCTTACATGCGAAACATCAGAAGCATGTAAGAAGGAATTTTTCCCGAAATTTTCAAAATTCCACTTCCTTACATTCTGAAAAAAAACGCTAATTGCAGAAGACCGCCCCTCCAAACAACAACTACAACTGGATGCGCTTTACAAATTCTCGACGGGCCGCGAACTCTACTCCGCAGATATCATGAATCTGATGAGCTTTGACAATGCTTCTGTCCAGCTTTATGTGCAAGCGATGAGCAGTAGTGATTACACAAAGCATTTGCCGTTGATCAATCCTCTTTTGGGATGCGGCACGCATTCTACTTCCATTTGTACATTCGTAGTGGCGTTTGAATGCGATGTGGCCTATACAATGACTTGCGGGGGCCAGCCGATGTACAAGTCAGTGTTTTTATCCTCCCAGACAAGTCTGGTACCAATTAACCGACCCCGGAGGGATGGAAGGCTTGGATGGGCTTTTTCAAATAATTAGTAACTGGAGAGACCGTTTTTGCGAATGTTGGAGGGAAGCGATGTTACAGCTACCGTTTGACGATTCCCTAGACCTGTCAGGTATTTCAATAACATTACATCAGGACACCAAGAAACCATACGAGCACACCACAGTTGGCTTAGTAGAACAAGGGTGCCCCAAGACGGCTCGTCGTTTGCGGCGAAGGGAAAGAGACGCAGACGCGGCAAAAGGACGAGTCGCAGCGCATACTGTAGCGGTTAGGCGTCAGGTTGAATAGATGTACACATACTACGTCTCATATCGCACAGCACGCGCTGCAACTCGTCCTTTGCCGCATCTGCGTCTCTTCCTTCGCCGCGCGCGACGGGGCTTCTTGGGGGACACCTGGAAACTGCCACACAACACTGTAATCTTAACAAGGGCAGAGGTTGCCCTTGTCCTGAGAGATGCTTGAAAATCAAGCCAGGGGTTAGTTTGTAGATTCGCAAGTGCCCATGAAGCCAGTCACCTCGCCGGAAGAGTTGTTGACTGCTGGACGCATCAGACTACCAGGTGACAACATCTCGAAAAGTGCAAGGAAAAATAAAAGAATACCATTCGCGTGGGTAGGACAAAGTTTAGGAGGAATTTTTGATGGCTCATACCTTGCTCGTACGTCACCGAATCGCCAATGATTGTGCATTTGTGCATAATACCATTTCGCACAAACGTACGACCCAGTTGAATAACCGACTGGTCATCGGCGATGCAGGCTGAAAAATTGAATTTCAAAAATTAAAGATTGTCGGAAAGACCGGAAAAGAACTCAGGGCGTGTTTATACTTACGATTAGTGTTTCAAGAGACTGCGATTGGGAAGATGGAGCAAACGACTAGTAAGACAGCTGATGGGAAAATACATGAAGAAGATTTCATGTGTATCGATTTAGTCCTCTCGCATATAACGCTTACACTATCACGTTCGAGACAAGTTCCCATCAAGGGTAACAATCGATACTTATCACTGATCACTGTCTCGAATTTCGCGATTCTCTCAAAACGCTGAGTATGAACGCGACGCTACAGCCTTGTACGGAATGAGCCTGAAACTCACCAACAACTTCGGCTGTTCCATTTTGGCATTGATAGTGGAAATTCTTGTTGGTGAACGTCTGACCGTGTTCATATTGCCGGCGTTTGCCATTATGCACGGCAATGGAGGGATACGACCGTCTTGTACTAAAGCATTTATCGATTGATATTGATCTTATTGAAAACAATTACAATAGAAGTATTTAAGTGGCTAAATAGCTTTTCGCTCACGATCTCTCGATTCAATGAATCCATTTTCTGGAACATAATAAACGATGTTATAATGCACTGTACAACCATGAACCGCGTACACTACAGAGATAAGATACGTTAGCCAAGCACGCGTTTTGCGCCTGGTCGCAACGCGGCGACCATCGGCTTTGCGAGTGTGCGAAACAGGTGACCAGTTATAAGATCAACAAGTACAAAAATATAAAAAAAAAGAACCCAACAAGCTCAGACAGTGTTCCATGTTGACTCTCCGGTCAAATCTTGGCAAGCCCAAGACATTTCTAATGCCAACTTTTCTGATAGGTGCGACACTTTGTTTTCTGGAGGCTGGCCGCTCCGCTACCGCACGCGTCCCAGTCCAGAAGGCTCTACTCACTCATTTTGGAAATTGCTAAATAATCAAACTAACTTGGTATAACAATTCGATTGTCCACATCATCCACGCTCATGCCATGTGCCGTGAGAATAATCTGTCGATCTTCTTGATCATCCATTGATCGAACTCCGACCACCAGTAAGAGGAATAAAATAATGCTTTATCATATTGAAACTTGCTTGAAAACTTGAACAATCAATAAATATTTTGTATCAATGATTTTTACGAATTGACTCACAGTACAGTTACAGTGAATTTAAGTGTAAGAAAGAGAAATGGAGGTAATCAAAATTTTTAGGGGAAGAAAAAAAATGAATCAATGAAAAAATGGTTGAGTTCCGAGCAGATAGGTATTGCTAAATTGTTGACCATTAGCGTGCACCCAATCAGAAAAAACATTCCCAAATTCTTGGGTCAGCGCGATCGTATTTTATTCATTTTATTATATGGTAAAAGTCGGTTTTAGTTAATGGAGAGAGTTCATAGTGAAGTAGAGAGTAGAAAGAGAATCTCGTGGAGTTATCGATTGATGCGCGACTTTTGAGACACTTTATACTGCGGTGGCTACTTGCTGGAGGGGGCAGAGAACATGCCGCCTGATCGGGAGTGAGACTCTTTCTGAATAACGCGCTGAAACCACCCTGTCGATGTTTCGAGGAGGAATGTCCGTTCCGAAACTTGATTGAAACTATGATGGCTCGTAAACGACCAGAGTTTTCATCGGCGTCAAATCTGATCCGCTAGCCGGTGTCCGCGTGATCATGATTGGAACGCTTTCCAGAAGAAAATGAAGCTCTTCAATTCCCGAAGCAATGCTTCTCTACAAGACAGGATGATTGAAAGGATGAGTGCACGGTGATCAAATTAAACTGAAAGAAGTCCCGGCAACGCTTTCCAGCCAGCCCTCCTTTCTGGTTTTGCGGTAATGCAATGGTCATCTGTACGGACACGCATGCTTGCTAATGAGAACTCGAGCGCGTTTCAGAATGAATGGACAATTCTCGTTCATCGAGGCATTTTTCTTGTATCTTTGAAGCCGCATTTAATGCGCATCGCAAGAGCTCACCCTTGACGGAGGATTTTCTGTCTTGCCTTGTCAAAAGGCAGCCGGCTTCTAATGGCGAGACGAAAGCCGCCGAGCGATAGACATATACTTCCAGCGACCTGATTAGGCGTGTGATATCACACCAACTCGACCTGCCGCACTCTCTCGATAGGTTAGCCTTCGCTGTCATGACTCTTAGCATTGCAGCAGGCGAGAGAGGAGCGCCTAGCGTTTGAAAGACGGGCAACACCGACGAGAGTCGCATCAATGTAAACGCGGGAACTAACAGGTGAAGAAAGAGTCCCATATCTTGGGCTCTAGGACATGGCTTTTCTTCATCCCTGCTGCTCATCACCTGTATCTGTTTTGGTTTTTTTAACTCCGTCTTAGAGCACCATCCAATCGACGAAACTGATTACGATCTGCGCGAATAATACAATCAATAGGACGGCCAGTACAAATAAAAACGAAAGGAAGCAGTCTGGTCGAATGCTAAGATTGAGGGCTTCTACATAGTTTGGAAATGGCAGTGTGTTGCTGAGAAATAATGAGACATGAGAGCGCTGGAAAGTAGAGTTTTAGAGTATGCACAGTATGTGAGGACCGCGACTTGCTGATGAGAAAAAATGGAAGGCCGATGATGCGACCAGAAAGCTTTAACGCCGTTTATCCGCGCACATTCTCTAAGCCGAAATGAAGGGTTATATGATTCTTTGCGGCGATGTCCAATCTACCATCGAAGAGTTTGTCCACCAGGCTTTTTACACTAGATGGATGGATATTCGTTTTCTACGGCTCAAGCTACTCCCATGGACAACTTTTTAGCCAGATCCATGTCAATATACCAATTTTGGAAAAATACATCTCAGTTTCTGAGAAGTTAGGGGAAGCAGTACAAGGGTGAATAGTGCCAAATCGAAAAGTTAAGATCAGTGGATTGCATAGGCGACGATTTAACGTTACCTGCTGGGTCCTCTCACAAATCGCGTTGGTTACTACAAGGTTGAAGTCTAGAGAAGATATCAGTGCACTTATGCACTTGAGCACGCCATGGATCTGGAAGCGGCGCTTGAGACGGATATTGGTGGGAGATAATTTGACCCTTACCCCCCTCCAAACTTGTTGTAATCCTTTTAAATCCTGAAAATTCCACCAGAAAGACAGCGAAGAAGCCCTCAAAACTTAAGGCAGCTGTGGAAAATATTAGAGTATGAAACGGCTTTGACCACATTCTGTTAGGTTGGGATGCGCCACGCATTCTACTTCAGCTCATAATGAGTAAACATTCAATGCGATCTAACCTATGCGATGTGTAAGGACGATGCCACCCGATGTACGCACAATGTTTTTTCAAACTTATTTAGACAAGTCTTTTCCGCATAACTAACGTAAAAGACTGTGTTAAAACGGCCTGACGACGCCAGGATTTGATCCGCTTCCTTGTGGCCGCTTGACTGAAGCAGCGCCATTTGTCAATACCACAGATCTAACCAACAGCATTTGAAAATAGCTCCATAAATTCCGAAGAAATAAACATTCCGGCAACCTCTTTCACGCCTATGCATGCCACTCCCAAAAATCACGAAACACCCTACCAATGTGGTCCCGTGACGTGCGTATCACTGACCTTACTTAAGCCCCCTAATATCGGAGCGCAATATTCAGCCTGGAATACCAAGCAAATTACAGTCAAGGGTGGAACTCTCGCTTTCTCGAGATTGCTGTCGAGAAACATAATTGTAGACATTCACAGTAATTATATACAATCATTTCAGAATTCTATAATTATACCAGCAATGGAACAAGTTTGGCGAATTGCCAAAAAAAACTACAATACGATAATTAGGAAGGTCTTTCAGGTCTGCTCCAATTTTTCGACACGGTTTTTTGCATTATATGGAGACACGTGCATGGAACACGGAACTGTGGGTTAATTGCTCCTGGGTAGCCCTCCCGACACGGCAAAGAGAGGACAAAGGCTAGTTCATGCGATTCCCCATAGTCGGTAGAGTTCGCATTTTCTGATTTGACGCTTGCGAGATGTACGCTATATGGTTGCCCGATGCGATATCACCGCCAGGACTTTCAGTAACCCATATGAGAGGATTTTCGTCATAAAAATGATGTCAAGAAGGCGCTTGAGCCCTTCTAGGCGCCCACCTTAGGGGAAACACTCAAAACAAGGCCGGTGGTAGGTGACGCTAGGATTAAGCCCAGGAGAGGAGGAAAACGCAGGGAGTCTTCCCCTCCTTGAGGCTTAGTCCCAGTACAACCGCCAGGGTGAATAACGGTCGAGGATTCCTCGACCATGGCTCTCTACCGTGCGAGAGTAGTGTCGAGAGTGAATGAATGCGCGGAGAGCACAGACGGCTCGCAGCTGGCGAGAGTGAGCATCCGCGTGGGAGAGCGTGAAAGAATCCTCGACGAGCCGTTGTCTTTTCCTCAAGCGATTTTCACCCTGCCCCCGCCCCCTCCCAGTAACCGACTCACTCACTTGAATATTCGTCCCTCTCCTCCCCCAACGACGTGAATGTCCTTTTAAAACCCCTTTTTAGCGTCCAGAGAGAAGGACTGCTTAGCAGAAAACAGCCAAACTTCTGTGTTCCATGCATATGCCTTGCCCCTACATTATGCAAAAAAACCGGTTTTTGAAAGCACGGCACTACCTGAAAGAGCATCTGGTAAGAGGCGATCCTTAGCGCTTCCTCACGATCAGTAACTCGATTCAACAGATGAGAAGTGGAAAAAACAGTCGGGGCGAATCAATAGCTATGCGCAGCATGAGGAAAACGAATAAATAAAATACTTAAAAGAGGGAGGTCAGTTGAACGAAGGCCGTACGGCCGCATTACAACTCCAAAAGAGGACCATGACGAGTTTAATGGATCAACTAGAAGGTCACGGTCATACTGCTTCAGTCAGGATTTCGAGGTGTGAAATACTTCAAAAACCTCAAAATCGTGAAAAAAAATTAACCATTGCCGTGCGAAAAAATCGATGGTAACTGAAGATAGGCGTAACCTAGATAGATAAATTGAGATGGGACGATAAACGCGAGCGAATTACCTGGGTAAAACTTTATCACCGTCTTGAGACGTTCCTTTTGATGTTCCGCGGATAGCGCGCTAAGATGGGAAAGGAAAATTGAAAGAGAAGAAGAGAAGAGGAAGAAAGATTGCATGAAAAGAACACTACTGCGAGAGCGGAGAACACTGCTGATTCGAAATAACGACACACAATCCACTTCTCTGCTACAGTTTCAGCGGTCCAACCCATGTAGACCTCCCCCTACTCCCTCCCCTGGCCTAGCAAAGAAGTATTTATTTGGCTGGAATGAGAACACGGTGAACACGAAGTAAAGAGGTATAGCAAAGAAGCACAAGTGAGTGAGAGGGTGCAGACACCCGCATTTTACGAACAAGAAAAATTGAAAGCGGATGAAGCGGTCTTGGGAACGTCCAAGAACGCCCTTGTCGCGCACTTTCGAGCCGGGAATGAAAAGATATCTGCAACTTCAGCTAACAGTTCTATCTTACCCACCAGTGGTAAGAATTATGCTTGATCTCATGCATGGGCTACATCTCAACTATTATGAAATAAAGGCGAAAATGGAATTGGTAAAAACGGCGAACGTTGAATAAAATGATTCTTGAAATTCTGGTAAGTAATAAATATTAGGCAAGCGTAGTCTAGTCGAGAAAGTGAAGCCATACTGATTTTGAATAGGTCAATAGCGGTGTACGGAAAACAACCTAATATAGTATCCTGCACCTAATTTAGTTCATTACGGGTCACAGAGGCTAACGCGAAGCTAAAGACGAGATCACAAGTATCTGTTGCGTTGAATATATTTTTATGGTAATGATTTCCTTCTGTGGTACGGAAGCAACAGTTCATGCCAGGACCGCCATCCGAGCAATTTTCTCAGTCACCGTTGGAAGCGAGAGTGCGCCTCACAGGGAAAGGCTCCCAATGTCTCGTATGAAACGCATTATATTAGGTTGTCTCATAAATAGTGTCGCTTTTTTTCAAACAAAAAGTTTTCTCTAAATCCTAAGCTTTTACACCATGTCATATACCATTCGAAAGAGAATTGTCTGCTCTACAAGATGCTATGTTCCACTTCCACCTCTGTTCCAGGGTTTTCAAATTTTAGGCCTGCGAAATGGGAGGTCCAGCCGACAAAAATTGACCAAACCGACAACTAGCTCTAACTTTATTTCCCTTGGGAGAAATCAATCAATGATGTACCCTCTACTTACTCATGACCTCTTCTGAACATTCCACCCTTAGGTTGCCGAAAAAGCTTTGCCGTGTTTCTTTTCGAATTGGCTGACCGATAAGCCATAGCAATTTTCAAATTGAAATTGTTCCTCGTGAAACGCCATTGTTTCATATCGAGTGGTGTTCCTTTTGTGAGCACTCTTCTGCTCTATTCGCTCATTTGTTTTGTTTTTATGTTTGTTGGGAATTAGTTCGAATTTTAGGTGTTTAGGAATAAGGTGTTTTATCCACGAAAGTGACCGCATTTCTTTGAAAAAAATTACCCTGAGAAGATGAGAAAATCAACCAGGCGTACATTCCTAACTTAGTCATGACTTGTTCTTCAAATTCTACTAGTTTTTCAATGTCTCGGCTATAAAAAAATTTCGACCTAGATCTCAGGTAATGGTGCTTGACCGTCGAGTTCTGGTTGAAAAAACCAGGTCTGGAAATGGAAAACGCGACTTGTTAGGAAACCTAATGGTGTAATGTTCAGAAGAGGTCATGTATAAGTAGAGGGTACATCATTGATTGATTTCTCCAGAGGGAAGATGAAGTTAGAGATAGTTGTCGGTTTGGTCAATTTTTGTCGGCTGGACCTCCCATTTCACAGGCCTAAAATTTGAAAACCCTGGAGCAGAGGTGAAAGACAAACATAGCTTCTTATAGAGCAGACAATTCTCTTTCGAATGGTATATAACACGATGTAAAAGCATGGGATTTAGATGAAAATTTTTTGGTTGAAAAAAAGCGACACTATTTATGAGACAACCTAATAGATTTATGGTGTATCACTAGATGTGTCTGAGTTTAAACGCTGATGCGTCAAAACCTACCTTCCGAATCTGCTTAACGATTCTGTGAATTGAGTTATGAGGCAGGGCAACGGCAATGATTGGGACTCATAGACGAAATGTCATTTCATTTCCTTACCGGAATACGGTTAAATAGGCTATTTAAACCCATTTGACTGTAATTTCTTAATTTGACTGAGTGTAATTCTTAATTTCTAATTTCTGAAGAATGGAAAACAGTAAACACGATAAGGGACCGATCCTACGACGTTTTGACTGTGATCCCGACCACTACCGTTGCGCTGTTTTGCTTCATAACTCCATTCAGAGAATCGTTTAGCAGATTTGGAAGGTAGATTTGAGATCAGCGTTCAAAGGCACATCTAGTGGTATACATCTCTTCTTGAATGGCCATGGCGACCTGGGAGCCTTTCCTTGTGAGAGACCAACAAGAAAAATTCAAAAAAGCTAAAAAAATTCCTACTGAAATTAAAACAAAACAAAAATTGATGAGGATTTCAAAGGCTACACTTGGAGAATGCGCCATGTCGTCGTCTTTCAAATGAAGTCGGCAAAATGATAGATGCACATGCGATTTATCAGTGATTCCCCAGAGCATCAAATGTCTCCCTAAAAGAGTTGCAGAAGGACGTTCAGCAACAAAAACGGCTTTTCCTCGTAGAAACGTACCCAGACGGGTTCAAAATGTACTTGAACAACTACGAAAGCAATCGTCCTTACTGCATAAAGCGCAGTCATAAAAAACAGCTATAAGGTGCTAACAAGATGAATGACACGGCTAAGTGCCTTTCTCGAGTAGGCGACGAGCCGTCCTTGAAGCGACACGCAAAAAATGCGCGTTGAACCATCGGGGGCTATAGGAAATGATCCAATTAATGGGCGCTAAGATCGTCTTTGGTTAAAGAGAGACGCCACGACATGGCGGAGCCGTTAGAGAAGCAGCGCATTAAATGACCCCAAAACGACTGCCGAACATCCGATGATGTATGCGATGAACTGATTAGTTCTCTATCACCTCCCATTACCACATTTTCTCACGCAATTGTGGGCGGTACCTACCCTGGGACATTCCTCAGCTTTACAGTAGAACGTTCTGTTTGTGTTTGTCTTTGTAAAAAGTATCATTATTTGTTTTCGTGATTGTCCTAGCCTTTGAACGCATTGGAGGTCATTTTCGGTTCTTATCCCTGTAAAATATCACCACTCAAGTCATTTCTGCTTCCCTGCATCGTGCTTAGAAGTCTATGAATTTTTTCCTCGAGGAATTATGTTACTCGACGATGAGACCACGTACAGTTAGAAGGCAGAGGTACCGAAAACCGCGAGCCAACAATGTCCGGCTTTATTTTTGAGCATAGTACGCGGTGCGGCGAAAAAAGCACTTAGTGTTGTGGCCAATGGAGCAACCTTCGACGAGACGAGGCGAGTGTAAGGGTAAAGGAGACCAGAGCATCACAGTGAGATGTGCTTCAAGGCAAGATCCCGGGCAGGAAGTGAACTCACACGAGCAACGTGAGCCCTTCAGGACTTTTGTAAACAGCTTGACCATGAAATAGGCTCAGGCTAGGCTCTCCTAAAATATTCTTTTCAAAGATCTCCCCTGTCCTCTCTCCTTTTTTCGTTTTTATAATAAGCTTATTTTGACGAGAGGGTAGGAACTCGTACTGGATGATACCTCGGCACTATTGCCAAGTACACTGTGAAAAATGAACAACCTCAGAGTATTGTCCTGCCTTCTTATATTCGAGAGTTCCCAGGAATCTATCTTGAAACCTCTGATGGGTGAAGACATGTCTCGGGAGTAGCTGAATGATTCCACTGTAATCACGCTTGCGAGGTGATTTCTGCAAAAATTCGTGAACCTGTCCTAAGCAATCGCGTAGTGGATGCTGAGCTCTAGGCTTCGTATCATGCAGGAGTTTGTACTGGTGGACCTGGTTTGGATTGTGCCGCTCTCATGTTCAAGCACCGCGCTCCCAGTGCATCTCAACATTTATAATATGAATTTTGACTTGTTTTTGTTTGTTAACTGCTGTTTTTGGCCGCAGTTCGCCTTGCGAATGTTTCACAAGAATGCTGGGTTGTGAACAAAACTTTCGCCCCAGGCGGGACTAGAACCCGCACCTCTCGCTTTCTCTGGTGCGGTTCTAGTCCCGCCTGGGGCGAAATTTTGTTCAACAACCCAGCATTTTGTGAAACATACTGATGAATCGTTTTTTTTTAATTTGCTGGCACTGGACTGTTCACCATGACTACCTATGTGTCGTTCAGGCACTGTTTTTCAACTCAGTGGCGGCTGACTTCGGCTGTTCATTCAATCATCTTTCAGAGTGATTCACTAGAAACCTCTGGCCCATCGTTAACAACCGCTCGTATCAGACGGCTTCGCACTGCTGAGCAGTGCACCTCGAAGCAGTCACTTAGCCGTTACGGTGAAGCTAGCATCCAAAACTAGCGTCAGGGCGTCAATTACATAAGCACAAATAAAGACATCGCGACCGCTATCGCAACACGCGGGGGCACAGTGGTGGCAGTGCATTCAAAACCTGCGTGGAACATCTCTGTAGTGAAAATTTAGCCAAGTCTCAGAAGAGGGAGGGAACAGTTCTCATGCTCCTGGCACTTCCTGTCCCGTTCTAGGCCTAGTCCTGGAAAATGCCCCGTACCTGGCGATGAGCGCCGTTAGAATGCTTTGTTGGAGTACATATGTATATGGGAGAAGCGTACTCAAATGACTGCAAGCGCCTTCCTCACAGCGTAGCATACGCATATCTACTTCGTAGATCACCTTTGAGACGCTCAGGGGAGGGCATTCAGTGAGTAAGCCATTCAAGGCCACTCAGTACCGAAGCCTAGTGAGGGTAGGGACTCTGAGGCATGTCAGCAATGTTCGTTCTCCCTTCGTCCTCTCCTCTCTTGGGTTTGGTCATAGCTTCCTTCCAGAAATTTCTGAATGCCCTGTTTTAGATGTTCCCCTTCACAAGGAAATGAGCCTCAAATGTGCAATATCATATCACTTCATTGTTATTGAATCTCTTGTTATCACGATCGAGTGCTCCATCACACTATGTACAGTCTCATTTCGTAGATTTTTGAGCTACAAGCGGTGAAAATTCTCGTGCGATGTGCTTCCAGTCAAAGAAGGTGGGCTCCTCTATCCTCAATGATGGGCGAGGACAAGTACCCGTGGGGGCGCTCATGTTGTTGGTAGGGGGGACATTCAAGTTAGTGAGCCAATTGCTTGGGACTAAGCCTTAGGCAGGAAAAGGGATAGGCCCTCTCCTGGGCTTAGCCCAAGTGTCACCTACCAAAGGCCCTCTTGTGATGCCCCCAAGGACATGACACCCCGTGGGTGCAAACATAGTTGTAGGGGGCCATGAAGTTGCACTACGCTATGTTTGTCTGCGAATTCAAGACCTAATCTGCGTTTCCGCTATATTTCGAAGCTGCCAAGTAGCGGCAAAATAGTACCGGCCCCTTGGACTAACCACAAGCCTCAGAGGTGCAGACGAACAGTGCTCCGAGCGTAGTCCCTCCAACTATGTTAGCACCCTTTGGAAATAAAACATTCGAAACTGGGGATAAGGATCAGATTCTTCTAGGCAAATAAAAAAATGGAAAAGGAACTTGGGAGAAGCGCAGATGATCCACCACCGAAGCCTGCACGTTCACCCCCACGATCAGGTGATCAACGAAAAGATTCAAGAGCCAGAAAGTGGGTTCCAGTATATTACACCTACTTTGCTTTCCCGCTATTGATGATGTCGTAGTTGCGTACTTGCAATATCAGATGACATCAAGAGCGTCAAAAGTGCGTGCGATATCGATTTTTTCGAGGCAATTGCCACTTGCCCTGACAAGTCCGCAACTAAGACATGCCTTTTCGCGGAATACAAACTATATTCAATCACTAGCGTACTGGAGTGGCTCACGAACCGTGGAGCTTCTTTTCCCTTCGGAAAACTGGATTACTGTCGCTGAGATGAATCACTACGCCGCAATGCACCCCCACCCCTCCCGTAGGCAGCGTTCAGAGTTGGTGATGGTATATGCGATTTGGCAATGATTCAAAAAAAGTAATCGAATAGATTAGGCGACTAGGCGAGTAAGCGAGTAGGCAATAAGAAAAGCATAGATATCGATCTGCTCCGCGGCCACTGAGCGATCGCTCAGTCGCCTACTCGCATAATCGCATAATCGCCAAATGGCAGTCGGTCGGTCGCCAACTCTAAACGCTACCTTAGGCATCATCGCCGCAATATGGTTTAATCCTAAGATGTATCACATCAGGCTGTTTGCGAAACTGATGCTAACTGACCCTAGCGCGCAAAATCAATACCTATACTAGAGCATACGCTGATTTAGGCGCCTGAAACGTAAACATCTTCTGTACCGCACAACAGCAGAACTACTCTACTTCTAGACGCTTTCAGCAGCACCAACAACTTGCGGATACAGCCTTTCAAAACGCCACCGCCACTTGTGTCAGATCCGAATTTCGCAAGGCAATCAGAAATCAAACGTACGCTTGACTTGGGCTTACTGAGATTCGTTCTGCTTTTATTTACGTTTTTTACAGGGAAGAAGCATGGCAAGAAAGACGGAGAAGATTCAGATAATACGCTCACAGATGTGGGTCCCTTTGAAATTTTTGGGTACCCGATGGGAGGCTTGTCGCGCGGCGAAGGTAGAGACACGGACGAGTCGCGGCGCGTGCTTGTGATGTGGACGTACTACAGTTCATTAAACGTGACGCGAAATCACTGCAGTGCGCGCTGCGACTCGTCCGCTGACCCGTCTGCGTCTCTGCCTTCTCGCTGTGCGACGGGCCTCCTGTCGGTATACCCGAAATTTTCGAGCTATCAGTTGTAATTGTGTGAAACCGTACTGCTGTGGCCGTACATACCTCCACTAGGGATCACTTCAACACGAAAAGATTTTATACAGTCGTTTTGCTTTGTGCTTTGACTTCGTTCAAGCCTTAGCAGCTCTTGAATTACAAAATGAAATTGATTTTACGCGTGCGCAATCGATATTCGTTCTTGAAATGCAGCGACGGCTGAATGGCTCGTTATAAAATAAATAGAAACTCATTCTTTTAGCTCCCTCCTGAAATGCCAGAGATGGAA